ACGGCTTTCACATCCTCTCATTATCAACTGAAGTACAAAGGCTATTACTTTGACACTTCTAACAAAACACTACGCATCCTGTCAGACCATCTGGCGACGTCTTCTGTAACAACTGTCCAACATCTTAGTCAAGTCATTCTCAACCTTATGCTGAGCGTAGAAGGTGACTTAGTGAGCAAAGACAAAATGGTAATAGTTCAGACCAGGGCAGGCAATAGTTAGAACAATTAGCGTTTGTTTGGTAGGTCCGAGACGTGGGCAGGGGTCGACTGGCGACCATATGTCCCGCGACACATACAGCGCTGGACACGTAGCGGCGCACGTGGTGCACACAGTACCGACCGCATCCCGTGCAACACGGACCGCAGTACTACCTACGTCGGTCTCTATGTAAAGGTGCGGCCAAATGGATTCTATTTTTCTGCAATAGATACCTACATGGCAGCAACACTTTAGCTACATTGCAGCTAGATAATAATATATGATTATACCATAGTCATCATTATCCGAAGGCCATGCCCAATTGGTCACATAATAGTAGATACGACTAAGTACACACTGTGATAAAAAAGCCAAGGATATGGAATGATTAGAAACACCTCTATTGCAATATAACACCTCGTAGGTATGTATTACAATATACTTACTAATCGTGTGTATTACAAGCAACGAGGTGTGAAACATAAATATGCAACTACGTGGATAACATTCAACCAGCTCATACATCAACAAGGAGGCGCGATAGTTCGATGTTTAGAATATGAAATGTATTATCAGCGCCGTGGTATCTGTCGATATCCTTTCCAGTGCGAGTGGTTGGTCCCACGTCCCGCGCCCGCCAGATTAGAGAGAGTTGCTACCGATAACCTCGGGACGCTCGGTGAGCTGATTACACTGTTTTTATTCCGTACCGGTTTGTTTATCGCCACACAAAACTGTTCGCTGATAGTTTTAAAGGGATATAATGCTATTACAGATAACGTTTGATGGATAGCGTTTGTTAGTGCAGCAGTGGGTCGGATGCTCCTTGGATTTCAAATATTCCATTTTTTCGTAGCATGATTCCATTTTATGGATACCTACTCTTCTTAAACTGAATCGTCCTCACATTCTTAATCAAGTAGGTGACCTATTTGAGAGAAAGAAAAAAGAAAACACATTTATTTACTTGCACCAAACATCATTCCGCAGAATGGCTGTATGTGTGCAATCAGTGTAATTATACATATATGGTATAAAGTAACCGAAGCCACAATTGTTACATAAAAAATAAGAACAGAACTCCCGCAGCATCCGAAAGTTCGTTAAATTGAACAAAAGCGGAACTAATAATAGGTGAGCACGTTAACATGCGGGCATCGGAAACATGTCGCGAGCACCGCATACCCGCGCCGGGGCGTCATAGAGGCCAGATACTGGCGGGCAGTCAAAATACAAAATTATTTCCTATACCTAATTTAATAGGTATACACTTATACGAGGTAAGTACGACTGATTCCATATAAAAAAACCAACTTACTCATATAAAACCCAAGCAACCTGAGCGTTCATTCAACCTATATTGACGACATAAATGAATGGGCGTATAAACAAGTGATATTTGTTTGGCAGCGACAATAAAGAGCTGTCACTGTTCTCCTGTAGCTGTAAAACGATAAAGTTACCTGTGACGGGCGACACCGATGGCGACCAGATGTGGCACGCTCGCCAGGCTCCCACGACGCTAGGTGTGTCTGCACAATACACGATATATTATTATCTCTTGCGACACTCGGAACAATAGCACCTCGCAACCTTATGTATGTGTTACGTCACAACCATTTTAATATATTCTACCTATATTTAACCTACATACTTGTTTTCCATCGGTCTATAATGACAATTGCAATGAAACAAATCACACTCCAATTTTAAATCGGTTATATCAGGACAGTAACATCAAACATTAAGATTACGGCTAAGTACTACTCGTACTAACAAACAATGGGTATGTAGCTATTAATCGCCTAACAATGCTTACTACCTATTTAAGCACCGGGGCCCTCGCATCCTGGGAGAGACGTGTCGGGTCCTCGTGCAGGCGCTACACGATGTCCTGCTGCAGTGTCTGCGGCCACACGTGGAGCCCGCACACACACACACACACATGTGTACACGTGTACTAGCACTATTGTACGGTATAATTACGACCTTCTCCGGGGAAAGTATTATTTTATGTTAACCTCCCGCTCATTAGGTACCGCTTTCACGTGAATCATACAAATGATAGTAGATAATATAATTATGTGTAGCTGGGTCCGGGACCTACGAAACTATCATTTAAATCAAGCTAACCCAGTTTAATATTAAACACGTACTTACCTAGTAATAAAAAGCAACTTTGATATAAAACAAAACTTTGTGTATATAACGTAACACTGAATGAGTAGAACAATACAAGCGGTGTGAGTATAATTGAGACTCAACCGACACCTGGCAGAGTGGCCGATAGACAACGTGTCGCAGTGAACGGAGAGCGTAGTAAATGACATTACTTGAATAAATTGTATGGCGAATTTACAGCGGCCATAAAACAAGGCGAGGGACAAACCTGAAGCATTGTGGTGCGCGTGCGCACGTGGCGCACACGTGTACCTACTACAAGGTGCTATTGTGTACATTACACAACAACACACCGATGAATGCTTTTAAAGTAAGTACTTACAAATAGACGATCGAAGCCGTCACCGTACCGTCAATTGGTTCGGCGGACCGATTCTGTGACTGTGATAACCATTTAAAATTGAAATGTATCAAATGTAGTTCGGAGCACACCCAGTGCTGGATTTATAAATAGGCCGTATAGGCCGCGGCCTAGGGCCGGCAGATTTTAGAGATCAGTCACTCGATTTAAGGTGATAAAAGTCAAACACGTTCACATGATAAAACATCATTTTTTATATTTATATAAATCCCTATATAAACTCATTAATATCGAAACCTAGTGAGTGATAAATGAAAGCAGTGCGGCTCTCATCGATTTTGAGTCGCGGAAGGCCTAACGGGGTGCCGAGGCTCCGGGTCGAAGATCAGGGGTAGGAACGGGGTGGTTTTAGGTAGTAAGAGTCAGACATTACCGCTCGCCTGATCCAAGGCAGAAGAAGTCATTAGATGATTTTCCCCCACAAAAATAAAAGTAGGTACATGGGGCGGCGGAAACAATAGGCTTACACTCATAAACAATATAAATCCGGCACTGAGCACACCACGTTTGTGGTTCAGCTTGAACCCAGTTCGATCGTCTGTGAGTACTTTTCTTTCCAGAGCGCGCAGTGCAATGTAGGCAACTCGTGCGCTTGCGCAGTGTGTGTCCCATCCATTTACCTCCCGCAGCAGGGCAGCAGGCAACTTTCAACCAACGGCGGCGGCAACCTACACCACAAAGTAAACCATTAATGTATACCTACCGCAAAAAATAGTGGGTAATTTGCCTAACAAAGAATGTCATATTGGGTCCTTAGATATTTTTTTCCAGGTCTACCTACAGACATATTCATATAGTAATAATTAGGCAGGTAAGTACACCAGTACTAGTAGTGTGGACACCGCTGCCTGATCTTTCGGGGTATAAACAGTGTGATATTGCATTATAGTGAGTATCATACCTGCATGCATAGTCCGTAAACCAATTGCATCGAGTTATCTGAACTGCTTCAGATACATTTCATGTTCATTCAGAGACCTTTATATAAAACTGCTATGTCGTTTCGAGAGCAAATCCGCAGGCACAGTTAGTCATATATAAAGAGTTATACCTAGACACAATATCTTTCTATTGAAATAAGTAGACCGGGAGCCTATGGGCTGGCTCTCACTTCAATTAGAATAACTACTATAATACTTAAAATATGTAATAAATGTAACTCTCTCTAGGTATCTAAGTAGTACTTACGTCTTAAGTTACAATCATTGCAATATTGTTGTAGGTTCGTTATGTTCAGTACTGTCATCTTTTTGCTTCGGCCTAGTGGGGAATGTAAGTAAACATACTACTAGCGCCATCTAGTGACCAAAAGCCAAACTAATCCTAAAATATTAGCTCTCGCATTTTACTTTACGGAAGTTGAACTCTTATAAATAAAGGTTATTTTAAATATATTACATTATACCTAAATAAATAAAATACGTAGGTATTTAGTCATTATATGATGATGTGGGTACTTTAAATAAAAAACAGTTTAATTTATACACCTTTAACCTAGGTACCCACAAAAATACGATTTACCTACGTGAGTACTGTTATAATATTCAGTAAGACAGGTATATAGGTACTGAATGTATTATAATTTATTGTAAGGCCGACGTTAGATAGAGACAGGTAGATTTGCCGCGAGAAGGTGGAGCGTAGAACATGTAAATAAACAACGCAGAGGTAGAGCCGCAGCCACGCACTGCTCGGACGAGACAAGTGCCGACACGAAGGTGTTGTGCAGGAGCGACGGTGTATCGTTATTGTAGTCGTGGTGAGACACGGCTCAGCAGTCGCAGTCGCCAGTCGGCTCTACTAATTAAGTAGAGGTGGGGGGAGGACGCGGGAGGTGAGAGGGGTGCGCGGTGCGGTGCGGAGGGCGCGGGCGCGCAGGGCGGGGCGAGAGGCGGGCCGGCTTCATTCCGCCGCGCGCCGCGCCGCAACGAGCACGTCAGTCCGCGCGCGCGGGCCATGGTCGCGAGAACCGATGAGAGCATGTTCGGGTGCTATGGTGACAGCTACTCGTACCGCCTGTGGAGCCTGGCCAACGTGTGGGGCGCCTGCCGATGTGAGTAGCGCGCCGCCAGCGGCCCGCAGTACACGTGCCCCCCTCGATACTGAAACTAGGACTTTTACCGCTGACGTCAGCGGAGGCTGTGAAATCTCGGTGTAATACGACGTAGATGCGATTTCAACACCGCGAAGTGCTTAACGCGTTATTAGGTAGCTCGTGGCCGCGGTCAGTGACGTGTGAGAACAGAGGTGTCGCTCGATGAAAGTGCAGAGCTCGTTAATGGGAGTTGGCGGTTGGTACGAATGCTTGGCGGCCGGTTGGCTTGCGGACATGAGGAGTAAGCAGGTCCCAACGTCTACCACCTCGGCCAGGCGGCTTGCGGCCTTAAGTAAGCTTCCTTTCTTTTTGTTTTAATTTGCATTTTTATATCCTTTCACCTTTTTGGCTCATTACATTATTTTCCTTATTACCTTTACTGCCACTGGAACCTTACCATTACCTACCACTCAACTTTCTATACTTATCATTTACACACGCAATCAATTCCAACTTCATTTCAATTTTATACATTTCGATTTTTTATTGAACAAAAAGTTTATAATTTTAATATACCTTGTAACAAGCAACCATTTATGAATCGTTTCCACATACAGGTGAACAATATTTCACCTTTTGGGGCATTAAAAATAAAACTCGAGCACGTCTTCATCAGAAATAACCTCCGTGTTTGGTGATCTCCCCTGCTCTCCCTCGGGATATAACTCATCCACTTGAGAATCGGGAACAGGTACACACAGACTTGAAAGAAAGTTTCGTTTGTCGAGGGGAGCCCCGCTCTCCTTCACCGCCTTAACTCGTAAATGATTATGTTGTTTTAATTCATTTGCTTTTTTCTGTCTTACATTTTTATTTTATTCTTCCTCCTTGAGTGCCGCCTGTCTGGAGTGGATAATATAATATTTGGACGTTTGATGCATTCGTTCGGCCTACAACGTTTTATATTATTAACGCTATTGACAAATTAATTAGAAATACCTTTAATTGCATCGAAATCGCGGATATGTGATGGTTTCATTTTTAAGTAAACGACCGACAGCATTCCACCGACAACATGGTTTAGCAAACTTATTTTAAAACAGACTTTAAAGGATTACTTTGTTCTCGATCTACCAAAGATTTTTATTACGTTATAAGCCCTTAAGAAAACAATATCATTTTAAGTAATTAAATACAATGTCCAAACATAAAAATGTGCTACAGAATAATTCGAGATATTGGCTCGCTTTACTCTTGAGTAATAATAACTATTTACAAAACAAAAATTAAATATGTATACTATATCTAATACACATATTTTGACGTCATCAAAATGAGCTTTGTGAGTTCCATAGGTGATCAAGTTAGTGACAAGTAACAGACTTTTGGTTAACTAACTTAATCTTGTAAAAAGAAGATAAAAACAAAATTCGGCTTGTTGGTATAGAATAGATATAGAATTATATTTTTAGTAGATGTATTAAAAATGAGGAAAAAATGGATGAAATTACTTATACTGGCATTCCTTAAGATAGTCCAGGTAGAGATACCAATACAGTTAGGTAGGTTATTTATTATCGCTAATTACTTGTTTGTTGAAAAGAAAATGAGGGTTCTCGTAATTACTCGTATGTTGATTTGTTAATCATTTGTCAACACGTCACAGATAGGGACAGCTTCTACTTGCCACAGAGGTGTCGTGACTCACAGTTTGTGATTCAGCTGTTAGGATTTTGTTGTTTTGGCATTTCACCTCCACAAGCACCGATATATGTAGGCATTTACGCTATTTTATTTAATCAGCACAAATACTGATAGCATACTTAAAAAATACAAAATTACGACCAGTATCTAGCGATATTTCTTTTTTGTTTTTACTGTAGGTACTTGAAAAACTCAATTAAGTCGTATACGTATTAGTTCAATTCACAAAAACTTTCTAATTAGTTAACGACATTTATTATTTCCTTCTTATCGTTCGGACTTATCGTCCTGTGTCGCGGAATGCTGCTCTTGAGTACGAGCCTTTAGTAGTAGTATATATGGCTTGAAACTAGTCGACTCCCTCGTCGAATAATTACGTGAGAAAATCATAGATAATAAGGTTTCGGTTCTTACTTATTGTAGGTACTGGAACTCCTGGACTTAACTCACCTATAAGAAAATGTGGTTATCAATGTCCAATCCATTACTACAGACTACTTAGGTACTTAATTAATTTTGATTTATGGATTATTTACTTGTAGGGTAATATTACAGGACAATATTTTGAGCTAATATGGTTTATGGTGACAGCCACAGTCAGAAGGTCCATCCACTCAGTGATTCTCAAAAAAAAAACGTTTATTACTTCGCCTCGGTTACAAAATCTACAAAGAAATGAGAATTAATTAACTTTGATTTCCTGGCGTATTTATATTAACATCGTCACAAGCGTTTGTTGAGATCTATGTGTGGTGACAACAATCTTAGTTGTTTGTAAATAATTTGGTAATAATTAGGTAAGTAACCTAAGCACTATTTACTTATTACAAGAAACGGTTCCCAAGTACTCGCTAGCTATTATCCACATAAAGGTGAAACTAGTCTCGACTTCTAAGTTACATTCAGAAGTGTTCTTTTAGACTCTATCTACCTCTATATTTAATCAATCACTGTAACCGCGTCGCCTACATTTCTTTGTTAATGGTAATTTGGTGCCTGTCCGCGCGTAGTTGTCCGCAATGTTCCTACGAGATAATTATTATATGGGCAAGTTGATGCAGTTGATGGAACTGAATCGGATAACGACGTTTTACTGAAATGAAGCATTATTCAGTACAATGTATTAAGTGCTCTTATTAAAGAGTTTTAATTTGTTGCGACTGAAAATAATTAGGTATAGACGTACCCTCTAAGTCAAAGTCAAAGCATTTATTTCTATTAATCCATTATTAGGCACTTTTGAAACGTCAAAATTTTAATTGTCCGTCCGTCTGTCTGTCAGTGAAGTTAGTCACTTGTTCCAAAGTAATTTCGAATGGAGAAGAACGAAAAGAAACTCCACCATTACTCTTTAAAAAAGTATTTTTAAGTCTCATTGATACATTATCTGATCCTTGACCCTGTATATACCTATATATGAGAACGATGAAACGACAATACAAAGTCAAAAATTATTGGGACTACGGAATCAACTCCTGAAATAAAAAAGCTATGTCATTCGTAGCTTTTTTTCACTCTGTACATTTAAAGTATTAAATACTAGCTTGTGCCATCGGCTTCGCGCGCGTACCCGGGATAAAAATCACCCCAAGTAATTTTTCAGACCAGGCTATAATCTATATCTATCCGTCCAATAGGTGTTTCGTGAATAAGTACAAAACATGGCTATTGGGTACCTCCTTACATCCTCACAAACATTGACATTGATTATTAGGATAGGATAAGATAATATTATTGTATTCGTTTTTATAAACCATACCGATGAGCTACAGAAGTACACTTTGGATAATTGTGGAGACCTTTAAAAAAATGTGGTGATCGAAATAGAGATAGACAGATAATCGTTAGGCAGAAAGTATAAGGTCAACTGAAGAGTTAAAAGTTAATATGAAACCTATCAGTCCGAATGTAGCGGTCAAAAGATGTACCTAACCCTGACAAGACTGCTGTTACAATGTGGTGCTGTATACTCTCACATATGTTTGGTGGAAAAGAAAGAGTTCAATAGCTTTCGCAGACCATGATTACAATTCATGCAATAGGCAGGCGGAGTTTTTTCTTCGAGTAAAGCAAACACTTGGGCGCTCCGCGTCGCGCCCCGCCGCCCGCGCCCGCCGCCCGCCGACACAGGTGCGACCAATCACCACTCCGCGCGTCTGTGTGCTACGATCAACAATCAAACTCTTATCTCTTGGACTACACTGACTAGCGACTGCGCGCACGAGTGTGCGTGTGTGCGTGTGTGCGATAATTGTTATTTGTTGTAGCAGCAATAGGAAGCGCAGCGCACTGGTGTGTGTACATAAGTTTTTTATCAGCGGTTAACGGACGCACTCTGCCCGTGCGCACAGATTACTGTACCGCCGATAATGTCGTGTGTAGGTGTACATCCGTTCTACCTAACAAACGATACGCATTAAATATTTACTCAACTCATTACTTGAATTAAATTCTTCTTATCAATACCTACAGGTACGATTTATCTGAAATTTATTTAATGTATTTACTCAAATACTGGAATTGACACAAACTATTTAAGTGCTAGAGTACGTGTCGTACTTACCTTTATGAAGCAACAAAGTCATTATTGAAAAATATTTCATCGAATGTAGCTCTACAGTAGAGTAACTGAAATACATCATTTCACCATAGTACAGTTAACGCCATCTGTTGGCGAGTAGCGGAACCATAGATCATATAAAGAATTATTTTTAGATTATGTAGCTGAGAACTTTAAATCTTAGATTTTACATATTTATCATTGTGTATGTATTGTGTAATTTGTAATCTAGAAATAAATGTCTACTGGGACATTTTAATTTATCTCGTGCTTTGTTTACCTACACTTGGTTTTAACATGCCAACTGCCAATTCCAATCTAAATGCAAGTCTAGATTTTTATCCCTAGACGTGTAGGCAGAGGGTCCAAATATTATTTATTTATTTAAATTTACATTCACAACGGTTAAAACAAACCAATTCCATAATCGTATTTCGGGCACAATTCTAGACTCCGTATATTATAATACCTAATAATCTTTATCAGTCTCATAGACCTTAAAAAAAAACGATATAATGGCAACAGTTACTTACTCGGCGGTCGTGCTTGACACCACTAATGAGGCAAAAGCACTTATTTTTGTATCGCAATAATAAATATCTATAAATGAATTTCCGTTCGTTAGTCTCGCTAAGACTCGAAAACGTCTGAACCGATTTGGCTAATTTTGGTCTTGAAATGTTCGTGGAAGTCCAGGGAAGTTTCGAAAGGTGAGAAAACAATTTAGGCGGTACGAAGTTTGCCGGGTCAACTCGTCTAAAACAAGTACTACTAGGTAGGTACGTTTTACGAAAACAAGACTTACCTAATAACCATTTCGTCAACCTTTTCTGAATTTTAAGGCACCCCTAAATTAAGTGACATTGCCACAAGGGCCACCTAGTATTCCTTAACGTGTGACGTAATTTATGGACGGCCCCTTATTTAGGTACATACCGTCACACCTGTCTCGTTGATTAAATACTCTAAGCATGTCTCCCATCGGTATAGATATAGACAATACAATGTCAAATGACGATTCTGGTAAGTATACCTCGTTGTACGGCAGTTGTGCAACGTGGGTTTGATTCCCAGATTCAGTGCAACTTTTTCTGTGATTCACAATATGTTGTTACACTTACAGGAAATATTCTAGTGTGGTAACGTTTTATTTAAAGAAAAAACGAACTACTTAACTAGGTATTGTAGGATGCGGCCGAATTCGCTTCTGAATTAGGATCACTAATAATATAGGTACCTACATACCTACATAGGTAGGTACCTACTTACTTCCTAAAATTCAATACCAGTGTCCCAACTCCCGATACCAGATTACATACTGAGTGTAAAGGACACGCGGCCAGTGCACGGCCACGCTAATTAATACGTCGCACCGTTGTTTTGCTCTTTATTATATTTGATTTACGAGGCGCTCGCCAATGCCGCTTTTAAAAACGTTATTACGATGGAATACAGACAGTAGGTACGACCGACTCCAAAATAGGTACATACGTACGACCTCACTCTCACGACGACACATAACACAAGCGTTGTTTCACGCTGGTTTTCTGTAAGGCCGTATCACGCCGTTTGTGCCGGCACATTCGTGACGTTCGTTCGACGTTAATGGTGTACCTACATAAGTCAATTTTCTTAGAAACGTAGTAACATAATACCTTCTACATACCTACCTACTTTTATTTGTCTAAACTTTGTTATAAGTAATTAATTATTCTAATTAACATTTGTTTTTTTTTTACGTCCGTCCGCTGGCGGGCGGAGGGTCAGAAGGCAAGCCGTCTGAAGAAGAGGAAGAGCGAGGTGGCTCGCCCCTAGGCCCCGGTGGCCCCTTCTCGTGCAGCCAGTGCCGCGGAGCCTACCCGACGCGCGAGCAACTCGAACGCCATGAGACCCTGCACGCGCCCAACACACAGGTGGATACAATCAAATATGTCAGTGCCCATTGTATTACGAATTTAAAATATATTAGAAAATTGTTATGATACAAGAATGTTACCTACAACATTATGGGTCGTCAAAGCTTCATATATACTTCGATTTCAGTTAATTTAAACTTCATAACTAAAAAGGCACTAAGATTAGGTAAAAAAAAGTTTACAAAAATCTAATTACTTTCATTTGTCAACAGTCATGCAAGATCTGCCACAAAAGCTTCGCGAACGTGTACAGACTACAGCGGCACATGATCAGTCACGACGAAAGCGCACTGCTACGCAAGTTCAAATGCAACGATTGTGACAAAGCATTCAAATTTAAGCACCATCTCAAAGAACACTTACGAATACACAGTGGAGAGAAACCATTCGAATGTGCAAACTGCGGCAAGAAGTTTTCTCACTCTGGTTCCTACTCCAGCCACATGACGTCTAAGAAGTGTCTCGTCATGAATCTCAAAATGGGACGAATCAAACCCAATAACCCGGCTTTAAACCCAGAAAGAAGTCCATCACGCAAAAGGACTAATGCTATGGTTGCCTCACAGTTAAATAATAATATGTCTCCAAATGGAAATTCCTTTCTTCCAATGCCTGCAGCCTTCTTTGCTTCCATGTCCTCTCAAGACAATAATTTTCATCGCCCTCCATTGGGGCAGCCAGGTATTCCATTCTATTTGCCTCCTGGCATACCCATGAGTCCAGCTGGTGGTATAGCTCCTTATAGCTTACCAGCATCCCTCAGCCAAATCTTTGAGCAGCTTGCTTCATCGCAATATCAAACAAGAAAGTTGGAGAATCCTTTAAGCCCCAAACCAACAAGCCCGCCTACAGCAGACCCAGAAGATCTGATCGAAGAAATAACTGAAGACGACGATAAACGATCAGAAGGAAGCGCTGAACTAGTGATGGACATTGAAGATGAGGAAGCTGTATCAATAAAAAAGGAACAAGAGGAACGAAATACCGATGTAAGATCCCCATCGCGCAACTTTGATGCCGTCCCTTTAAATAATAACGCTGACAATTCAGGTTTTAATTCAATACTAGAATCTGTAAGCGCTTCCGTTACAAAACATTTCTTTAGAGCAAACATGGAAAAGCTGTCTCCTATTTCGGGCAACGTTTGTCCCAGTATAGAGTCTCCACCAATTTCTCAAGTCGTAGTGAAGGAGGAACCGGAAGAAGCACAAAGATGTTTAAAATGCAACTTGACTTTCTCAAGCAAATGTGAGTTAGTAGAGCATGAGAAAACTCCTTGTGGAAATATGTTTAGAAAACACGAAGGTTTGGCAGCTCAAGTAGCCGAAACGGTAGCTCTTAGATTGGAAGCAGAAATACATGCTTCCATTCAAAACGGAGTAAGTGCAAGCGAAGACGAAGACTTTAACAGAGAGGATCGCGATGATAAAATATCAATACATGACAATGACAGGAAAATTAGAGTTCGCACAGCATTGAGTGAAGAGCAACAGTCCGTTTTGAAGGAACATTATTCTTTAAACCCCCGACCGAATCGCGAGGAATTCAAAAGAATAGCCCAACAGATCGGCTTAGACAACAGAGTAGTGCAAGTTTGGTTCCAGAACAACAGAGCCAGAGAACGACGTATGACTCAAACGATAACCGCCTCTGATCAACCACTAGACTTGTCTACAAAGAAGTCGAATCCATCAGTTACGTCAAGTCCGTCGCCATCGCCACCATGCAGCATTTCTGTGACACATTCCGACTCAGACGAGGCTGTAAATCTTAGCCAAAAGTCCTCGCGAAGTACTACGCCTCATCGTACCAACTATTTAAATACTTATCCACATTCCAATTGTTCTTCATCTTCATTCACCGACTTTCGGTTGTCTCCTTCACCAGGAGAAACAATGAATGGACAAAAAAGATTACTACCCCAAAAATTGCACATAAACCCTTTAGTACCCATGGACAAACTCCTACAATATAACGACATGGCCAATGCAAGATCTCCTATTCTGAACATGCATCTGACCTCAGACGTCAATAGACAAGGCTCGAGTCCATCATACGAACGTCCTCCGTGGGATGAAATGCAGACATCGAATGAGATTGATGAAGAAGCCACAGTACTTAAGAAGAGCAAACTTAAGCAAGGAGCAGAGTTCAAGGAAGGCGAAGGACAATTCGTGTGTGATCAGTGCGATAAGACCTTTGTCAAGCAAAGTTCACTCGCCAGACACAAATACGAACACTCAGGTGAGTTCACTAACAACAAGCATATACCTACCTGGACGACCTGTAGCTCTTTATAGTAATTAGTAATTACATAGAATATAAAATTAGCATTATTTTTTTAAATATATTTTAGTTTATTATTTTAAAGACTTGAGACTTATTTGAAATAATTTCAATGGATGAAAAACTTTTAATCTTCGTTTTATACTTTATTTACCTACTTGTATGCTCATAAGTATTGTAAAATATAAGTAAACTGTAAAACTACTCATCATTCGTACTATTCAGTTTCATCGGTAAAAAGTACTTAGGTAAAAGCTGCTGATTTACTTATTAACTAAGTATTAATTAGGTACTTATACTCGTACATTGAAAAGTGAGCTAAAACATTAATAATTTTTCTCCACAGGTCAACGACCGTACAAATGTCTAGAATGTCCCAAAGCATTCAAACACAAACACCACCTGACTGAGCACAAACGTCTTCACACCGGGGAGAAGCCTTTCCAGTGTTGCAAGTGCTTCAAAAAGTTTTCACACTCCGGCTCTTACAGTCAGCACATGAACCACCGATTCGCAATCTGCAAGCCCTACAGGGACTAACATCGACATCACATCAATTGTTGAACTAAGTCTGGTATCGATTTCGTTAAATAATAATACAAATTCTATTGCACTTGTTAAATTCTAAACAGCACTTAATGTCACGACGAAATCAAGTTAACATTTTTGAATTTTATTGATTGATAGCTATGATCTTATATATTTTGTTGGTGGTCGACCTAAGTTACATTCTTTTTGAAACGAACGCCGAACGTCGAACGCCGAATAAATGAAGCAATCGATACAGACCTGAATATTAGCTCAGTGCTCATAATAACTGTAGGTACCTCATGTTTCAGTAAACACGAAACAAATCGCATAATAATATATCTACCTACTCGTACAAAAAGTATTCATTGCCCGGTATTTTCGTTACAAACTTAATTAAGGTCATTGCTCAACATCACAATATTTTTATACATTATATTTACTGTAGAAAAATTATCTGAAAATCCCAACAGCCAAAGTAATGCCAAATATTTAGATATAACAAGTGCCATGCTAACACGCCAAACATATACTACGGTTAAATGATTAAAATTATAGGTTTAACTATTTATCTAAATACAATACCAAAGGACAGTACCTGTAGAATACTCCTGTATAATTAGATCTTATTTCTTTTGACAGTGTTTAGTTAGGGCAACAATTAATGTTTAATCATCCTAGCATCTCCACATACAATACGTAATAGGTACTCGCCTATTGCGGTTGATACAATGTACTTGTGGCAATATATAAATAAACATATTTACTTTTATTTTGGACCAACGAGATCTAGCAGCTATATTCGTAAAAATATCTGTTGTTTTCCTATAGGTACATTCAATAATTCTATGTTGTTCTATGGTACCTACCATATTAAAAAGGCAAAATATGGTACCTACAGTAGAAACACATTTAAAACTATATAAAAGTTTGAATACTATGTATTTTCCAATCTTTATAAGTACCTATATCCGAATGTAAATTAAATCAATCACCAGTAATCTACACGCCTATGTATAACTCGATTGCATTTCTTAACATTTCAAGATCTGGTCGTTACTAACTGGTAGGGATAAGTCCGCGCATTGTGTATTTTCTCATTATTTCATTGTTATTGCCATCGTTTAATTTGAATATTTTAGTAGGTAGTATCACGTGATGAAAATTAATTGAGATGTAATGAGTGAATACACAACCTGCTAACTTACCCCCACGCACGAGAAAATCTAGACGTGGTCCGTGCTGGCTCCTATACTCAAGAATAGATAGGTAGATAAGTTTTATTAACTTCGCACCGAGATCTGAGATCGCTGTTTTATAACGATACAATAATGCAAACTTATTACAGTAGTTAAATAAAGCCGAGTTCTACTAAGGTTTATAGTTAATGGTTAAATAAACAATAGATATAAAGCGTTTTTATCACATGGAAATGAAATTTACACAGTAAGCTCTGGATTACCTAGGTACTGGAATAAAACTTTCATCTTGTAATTCAAGGAATCAATATATTGAATGCCATGGTGGACATGTAAGGATAATTTGAATGAATACAAATTTTCTAAGAGATCGATTTATTCATTGTTAGCAAAACATTTTAAAATTTAATAAACCTAAGCTTCTCGTATTGTAAAACTTACATACTAAGTGTTTAGATAGATTCAATCTTAATAATTAAGTTTTAAGCATTCCATAATACTCCTATGGGATCTCTGCTGTGTTTAAAAAACTCTTTAAATTAGTCAAAAGATTATCGTCTGTTAAGTTGTAAATAATGTAATGTACATATTAAGCTATGTGTAAATATGATCGCTTTGTTGCCTATTCTTATTCAGCAGTGGTACGTCATCATAGATATAAATGAATTGTGCTCTGTCCACACTGCAGCACAATCAATGGTGACAATAATGGACGACTATTTATTGAAGGCAATACGATTAAATAACTACATGTAATTATAAATATTCGCATCCATAACATATAAATAATGACTTCTAATACCAGCTGTGGTACTCGCAAGTTTTGATTAGAAAGTACAACGTTGTTGTTGATGAGTGATGTACTTAACTTTACGTATTCTGTTATAAGAGATCATGGTAATTGTGTCAACACCAATCTGTCGCAACATAATATTAGAACAGAAAGTTCCTACGCAAAATACATTTAAGAGATACATAATGATTGTTTCTATATTTTAATAAATGTAAGTACCTAGTTAAAATTATTCTTTAAAGGTTTCGATGCAACGAATTACATAAATAATTACAAACAGTATATAGTAGCGAGCTAATACAGAGCTTGACATTCTTCAGATATACAGTATTCAAACACATCAGGACAATATTGTCGGCTTCTTCGCTACTAGAGTAAACTTCCATCATTCACAAATGACAATTAAGCACAGTATACAATGGACTCGCTGATTTCATTGATAATTAATAATTATAATATTATGATTACCTGCATAAGTGTACATTACCTTACCTAAGTACATGCATGTTATATAATGTAAAGACACCACATATTGTTTGTATCTATATCTTTTACTTTATCTAAATTGACTTAGCGATCCTGTTTGAACTATATGTTTTATTATATTTTTATTATAAGTTATTTCCAAATTGTGACCGGTGGGCTAGATAAACCAAAGATTAATAATATGTTAACAATAATATGATGTGGAACACTGTAAAATATAAATATCCCATCATTTAGCTGTAGGTTAGTTTTACTTGTGCCAAATGATAATTTTTAAGGCTTCGAATGTAACTTATATCAGAATTTTATTTTTACATGACAAGGCATGATGTACTATACAGAATTGATTACTTGTGCAATACGATATTGCAGAAACGTATTTTCCTTTTATGATTGTATGATGATATAGTTTTAAGTGTAACAGATAGCAAATGTGAATTCCTATTGCCATATTTGTCTTTGTTGTATTTCGTAATGTTGTGTGATTGGATGCCGACTGCGTGCCAGCACAAGGTTGCTGAATAATTGTTAAACTAAGTAAACTAGTTTGTTAAACTTACCTATAGATTAACATGTGTTAAAATATTGCCTATATAAATTATAGTAATTCATTTTACTTGATATTATAATGTATATTGAATTTATGAATATTAAAAATATATATATATGAAAATTCAATGCATAAACCTTCTTTTCATTACTCGACAGCATCCCTTATTCTCTAACTAGACTGCAACAGTAATGATGAATTGATCACTTCGCGGTATGTATTATCTTTACAAATCTTGTATGTTTGGGGGTTTTGTTTGTAATTCTCGTAAATGTAATTTCTTATCTGTATTGTTCATTTCTTTCATCAGTTTCAAACACAGTTGCAAAACAATAAGTCAGTTAGTCACTCGCCTTGATATTTAATATTGTTATTTTTTTATTTAAAACACTGTAGGTATACAATCATACTGTGGCAGGGATTTAATGCCGCATGGCATTCTTTTCCACTTATTTTTTAGCGCCCTTCATGTGTCAATATAATTCTTTACAAAAGGCGAATTGCTTGAATTATGCTTTTATTGAAATCGAATCGAAGGAGAGTCCTGTCGAAGAGTTAATAGATGAATTCTGTCGCTTCCGCAGTTGTATTTTTTGCTGACGACGTCACCCGCTACAGGAGTATCTGTAATACAAACACAACATTCATTAAATATTTAATATTTATTGAATTATTTTAACAAATGTACACAATCACTGTCTACGCTGATCTTGTGCTCGTTATAAAAACTAGAGGACCAATCTTCTCTAAGGTATGTGATGGTATTCTATAAGCGTTGATGGAAAACAACTTACTAAACAATGCATTGTATTGGAGCAATGCACTTGTTGCGTCGCTCAGTGCTTGGACAGCCACACTGACACAATTATTATTTTTTTCATTTTCTAAATTTCATGATTAGTAGGATGATTAATTTTAGTAGGTATGACCCACCTGGCTACCTGCATAAGGAATAGTTATTATGTGGTCCTAAGCGGCAATTATGGCAGTAAAAACCATATCTTCTGTGAATAGATTGTTTCTTATACTTGTAAGCAAATGCTGTAGAAGTGAAGATCATACACTACACTCAAGTGTTGACCCGATATCTCTACAGTTCCATCTGTAACAAAAACAAATTGGCTTTAGCAATTATATATGATCGGCATAACTTTAAATCATAGACATTTATTAAAGTTCTTTAATGTACAGAAACACAGATACCACGACCTCACAGAAAACCGACGTGAAACAACTCTTGCGTTGTGTTTCGTCGTGTTAGTGAGGTTACCGGAGGCCCAATTACCCCCCTCCCTAGTCCCCGTCTCCCGAATCCCCGAATCCTCTACAATCCTCAAATTCCCAATTCCCAAAAGGCCAGTAACGCACTTGTAACGCCTTGGTGTTTCGAGTGTCCATGGGCGGCGCCAATTGCTTACCATCAGGTGATCCGTCAGCTCGTTTACCGGCTTATGCTATAAAAAAAACACTCACGACAGTAACAAGCTCACCGTTAATAGATGGGTAAGACCATTCGCTTCTATATTGCGTTGTCTCGTATCTTTTTTTGACCCCAATAGGTAGGAAATCTTCATGGAACCCCCTCGCCTAGGGAGGGCTAAAGGGTCTGTCAAACTGACTAAAACCCACCGCGGTGTTCCGTCACACAGGTGGGTAGCAGCTGCAGAGTGCGACGACCTCGTAGTTCGTCCGTCCCCGGACAGGTGTCGGCCTGTTGTGTGTCCGATAGCTCTACCTTCTAGTTAGTTGTCTATTTCTAGAACTGCGGTTCTAAACGCGGAGCCTTGCTCACACAGCACTGCCAATGGTATCAAATCCGATTGTACGACTTTGGAGATAAGACCTTTTAAAAGCTGTGCGACCGTAACACCTTCACAATATTACAAGAAATAGCCTGCCGCCAGTTTGAACAAAATCACAACTTTTAGCACTTTTAGCATATGAGTTCATGTCGTTTCCAAAGTCTTTTATAAAATCTTGTGACTCACCAAAAGTAAGTTGAGGTGTCAGTGCAACTTCGTCAAACGACATACAGTTTCTTTTTAACCGACAACAAAAAAAGGCGTCCTATTTACTTAGATTGTGCTTGAACACGTACACCAAATTTTACATTTTGGGCAAAACGGGCTATTGTTCTTTTGCTTGGTAAATTAAACATTTTTTGTAATACCATGTACCCCTGTGGGCTGTCTTTCATTAACGACAAACACAAAAGCTTCTCATTAGTAGTAAATCTCATTGCTTCCTTTTTTCTGTTCGCCATTTTCAGCTGCATGAGAAGAAAGTCTTGTGCTTGTTTTGGTAGTTTTCCAAACTGCTTACTGAACAAATGGTTGTTGCTTATACTTCTAGCATCATCTCCTGAAAATGGCGTTTGCATGTTGCTTTCATTGTCAGCCATTTTTGTCATGCTGCTTGCAAAGCTCCTACAGCGGTTTATCATTTTATTGCCTGTAAAAGGATAACATCAACATTATAATAAATCTATATAAATAAAAATGAATTTCCGATCGTTAATCTCGATAAAACTCGAGCACGGCTGAACCGACTTGGCTAATTTTGGTCTTGAAATGGAGAAAAAAATGTAGGCGGTACGAAGTTTGCCGGGTCAGCTAGTAACTAATAACTCATAAAGTTATGTTCTAGCGGAATGTTGTACTTACCTCCTTTATTTAAATTACTTATGTTTGATGGCGTTTCAATTTGAATTTGTTCCACATTGCCAATCAGGTCTGCAAATAACATAAAACTTTACTTATTATTCATACATTTTTTACAACTGTCGGTTTAAAACATTATAAAAACTAAAAAAACAAACTCGGAGACAAAGGTTTTCCGTAGCATTTGCATTAAATTCCTATGAAATTACTTATTTCCTATCAAGCATTGAATTGAAAATACAATAAATACTTACGGAAGACTTAGATATACCTAAATCTCATAAGCTTTACATCATTTGAACTGTGCTAAGCAACTATGATCTTGCAAAATAAACGCGTATAATATAAAATCTCCGAAGACATCTGCTCAGTCCACTTGCAAGTCTACTTCACACACATACACACATACAGTATACATTCATTCGCTCTTACATACATTGCAGGTTAAATAAGAGCTTGCATATAGCTCTACATATTTACAACTACAAAACATAAGCTCGTTTTCCATAATGTTTGTATGAATTACATAGTTATGTTAATCAGTTGATGAAAGAGTGCTATATCTTAAAAATGTCAACCGCATCTTGTTTAAAACAATATTTATTGATAAATTTTCTTGACATCTATTATATATTACTACTATTATTATATATACTACTATTATAATTGTATTATATTAATATGTTTTATTGTTATTTCTATTGGTTTCTTCGGTCTTATTACTTTTTTTTATGAATTGGTTTTTATCTCGTTTGTGTAACACACTATGTGTCTCATTGTTGTTATTTCTTTTCCTGCCACGGGCCCACAGGAAGAAATTCCAGTTGGAATATGCTGGGCCTATGTACTCTGTTTTAATATTATGTATTGTCCTCTGTGTTGAATCAGTATACATAAATAAATAAATATATTTTGTTTCATCCAGCTATTTCACTCTCTTAGTTTACCTGTGGGTTCACCATCTATATTAGATATAGGCTTGTTTGAAACGATTTCCACAATACTTGTTGTTTGCGAACTCGATGCAGCAGCACAAGGTGTCAGTGCTGAAAATATAATAAATAACAATGAAAACCAGCCTCTCATTATTAAGTTATTAACATCACATGGCATCAGCTAGTTTTGTATGAAAGTGTTCTTTATTTTCCTCTCCCAATGCAACTAATTTTGTTTTCTATCATTAACGGGCTCCAAGAAAAAATCATTTGTAAGAATCATTGATTTACGGTCTGAGATGTTAAAGATGTGTGTATAGTTAATAAGCTACATGACATCTTTTTTTATAAGTTTTTATTCTTAGGACTAGCTAGTCATGCACTTAATGCTGTATAAAGTTGATAAGCATGAACAATTTGCTCTGCACTGTAGTCGACACAATCTAAGAGATCCTCTGACATCTGCCATCTAGTGAGAGGTAAATAATTGCTGTTTATGACCGAATCCTAAATCACATCGAGGCAAAATTCTTATAGTTTGGCCTTTTATCCCCGAAGGGTAGGGGAGAGCATAGAGAGTAGGCAGAGTTGCACGTTACGGCACTTAATGCCTCTGTATTTACAACGTAACACGCACTTTTCACTATTTATGTTATGTCTATTATGTGAGTCAGTCAGTGTGTCAGTCAGTCAGTGAACACTAATGATGTTATGTGTTATGTGAGTCCCATATAAAGGGGGTGAGCCATATACCGGGCACATTTCCAGACTCCGTGCTCCTTATTATTATTTTCCTGCGGGTCGCGGCAGGACGTGACCGATTTTTAGGAACATTACTTCCGATCGATCTGAAAACGGATAACCGACAGGTGACATAATTATGGTAATTGGTACTCAACTTGGAGATTTCAAATTGTAATAATGGCCTTTTATAATATGATTCCTGGAATTACTCGTCTATTTAACTAAATGCATTTCTATAGTAAGATGCTTTTGAATTATATTCTTTATGAAAGTGTATGAGTTACGAAGTAATGAATTAATTTTATGAATTTTGATTGTTTTGTTTTTTACATGAACATTAGAGGAGACTCATTACAGTTTATAGCGGTGCATAAACTGACAAACATCAGAGATGACCTCTTAAATTGTGTCGACTATAATTATAAAGAAAACATACATAATATGTATGTTTATGGTATGTTATACATAATATGTATGTTTTACCTGTGTCATTGTCTATTTTAGATGTAAGCTTGTTTGAAACAATTTTCACAATACTTGTTGTTTGTGAACTCGATGCAGCAGTACAAGGTATCAGTACTAAAAACATAATAAATAACCATGAAAATCAATGCAGTAAGCAGTATGTAGGTAAATATGAAATTTGAAATACTGAAAATTTTAAGTAAAAGAGGAGATGCTTTTTTTATAATATTAACAGAAACTCACTATTATTTTTTACTTTAGAAGTAAAATCAGTTGGATTTTGCGAGACAGTCGGTTGCTTGGCATAATTGTGATCACTCAAATCATTATCAGCTGAAAAAACAATATACAATTTAATAACAATGAGATGTGAATGTTAATGTCTTAGGGATCTATATAAAACTAGCTTCTGCCCGCGACTTCGTACGCGTAATCCCATTTTCTCCCGTCCCCGTTCGTGATTTTCGCTAAAAAGTAAAAAAAAGTATTGGTTAAAAAGTATCCTATGTCGGTCTCCTGGCTCTAAGCTACCTCCCTACCAATTTTCAGCCAAATAAGTGGTGTAACTAACGCGACTTTCTTTTATATATGTATATAGATAATAGATATAGATGTAGTTCCACTAGTTATTAAGCTGTTATCTCTATAATTACATGCTCAAACTATGTTTTGTGTTGAATAAAAGCGATTTGTGTTATATGAATACCACACTATTGCAATTTTATTATTATTAAAAAAACATATGCAAAATTAAATTTTGTAGGCCACCACGGAGCATTCACCTAAAGTTAGTTTTAGTATGTAAAATTTAAACCAGCTTGAGATTTGGAATACTATATGTAGAAACCAAAATTAGGTGTAACAGCAGGAATTCATACTACAGCAACTACAGGAAAAATATTTGGTTTGTCCTCCAGCCCGCAAACAAATACACCCGAAGCAGGGACCCAACATAAAACACATACACAACACTCAACAAACCACTCAAACCACACATATTTCATCACAGATGGATGTGCTTGAGGCAAAGGGGCAGACAGATCACCTGATAGTAAGTGATCAGTGCCACCCTGGTTTAAAGTTTGTATTGGTTGGGAAATACAGCCCACAACAGATTATTCCACAGTTTAAGTGTGCGAGGCAGAAAGGCCCAAAGGATAAGCGCAGTTGTGGCCTGCCGACTATCTATATGATGGGGATGAAAATAGTGTTGTGTGGGATGATAGCAATGCTGCTTACACAACTATTGTAAAGTTTAGAATTTGTTGGATGTTGAAAATTTTAATGCATACCGTCTACCGGTAGTATGATAATAAATACTACATACAACATAACAAATACTAAACTACCACCTAATGTAAAAGTGTTATTAAATGGAAGTTTTCAAGAATTAAATTAATGCCATCTAATTATTTTTTTGTCTCATCAATAAAAAATCAAGTATTACAAGAAAGAATCCACTAACCTGTCGACCTCAAAGGTACACCATGAAGAATTTCCATAGAAGTAAACAAGGAGGGATAACCATGCTGAAGACGGTTTCCCGTACCGTCAAACTGATGTCTATCGAAATGCTTCTGACACACATATCGGCTAATCAATTGGTCCTTCGACAGACCACTGAGCATCGCATTTACAGGAATCAGGAAAGATAACCATAATTCCCGTAATTTATCGTTTTTTGGGAAATTAAAAAGTCGGTGAGTCTTGTTGGTGGCATTGCAACCAATAACACAACATTTCCGCATGGTAAAGCGTTCTGTGACCTGATAAACAGGATGCTAGTCTGGAGTCTGGAGCAATAAAGTAAGAAAGCAGTTGGCCGATTGTAGATCTCACAGACACAAACCGAGAAGTAAGCAAAACAATCCAACGCGCTACGACTCACAACTCACAATACACCACTGAACAATAAAAGTAAATAATATTATACTGACTTCAACAGACAGACTATTATTAAACTGAATTCAAATTTTATTGACAATGGCATAGCTTAACATAGGTACTCTTTGACGGCATAATAATGACATATCCATTAGATTGTCAGTGTCAGTGATAACGTACTTATTAGTTATTGTTCCGAGTACTTATATGATGTATCTATGGCTTAATACCATATTAATTATTAATACCAATTATATCTATGACTAAAGGACTAAAGACTCGGTTGCTAAAAGAAAAAAAAATGATTAAAAATTGACTACTTGACTACAGATTTGAAATAGATAAGCAGACTCAACATTACCTATTTGTGAAGCCAAAAACACACATGCTTAATATGTAACTTAAACGGGGCCGGACTAAGGTCCGTATTAGACATGATAGATGAAGGTTATTTATTTATAGGTACTTACATAGAAATAAGCGGGTTTTTGGGATAAATAATCAATATTTATAACTACTGAATAAATATCCATTTTTACTATATTTTTATGTATATTATATGTTATCAGAAAAGTATGAGAATCCTATGAAATTTATATTTTTCCGAAACTTGTATTTAGGAACTGTAAAAAATATAGTCTTTAAAATTAAATAATACGTGGGTATGAATTTAATAATTGTAATATCCTCCTAGTATACAAAATGTATAAAATATTGCTTTTTCAGATAAAATACGTTGCAGGGAGAGTAATAACTTTTATGAAGGCAATTGTTATAGTTAAGAATAGCAGGCTATAGTCATCTCCTTCCCCTCAATAACACTTTCTTCAATTTCTCTTCTTTTTTTCTCAATAACAAGTTCTTGTCTGGTCCTGTCCTATTAAATTTTGTTGTACATTCCAAAGTATTTCAGGTATTTGATGATAATAGACAATTGTAATAAAATTTTATATAGTGGGTACATAATATAACAACTATAATACAATTGCAAAAAACAAGTAGGTTAGAAAATACAACTTTGTAGTAACTATTACTCAATATGAAAACAATATAATTATTAGTTGCCTCATATAGTAATTATTAGTAGGACTGCCTCGTTGGCCGAGTGGTCGCTAGGGTGACTGCCGGGTAAGGGGTCTCGGGTTCAATTCCCGGATCGGGCAAAGTATTATTGGTTTTTTTTAATTTTCAGTAATAGCACGGAGTCTGGAATTGTGTCACTGGATATAAGGCAATAGGCTCACCCCCTATTACATGGGACTCATAACATAAATAGTGAAAAGTGGGTGGTACATTATACAATAGCATAATGTGCACCTCTGCTTACCCCTTCGAGGATAAGAGGCGTGATGTTATAATTATTAGTATAACATTCCGAAATACTAAATCCGTCCACTGTTGATTCTACAAGTGTTATATAAAATTAAGTTGTTTTTATTTGTGTATTATTTTTGTACATTGTATTCTAAGTACACTTATGGGCAGAAGATGTGATAGTTGATAAGACTGCGTTATAAAAGATTATACATTATCAAAATGTTGGTTTATTTAAAAAATCGACAATTTGTTTTAGTCTACAACAACGGAAATAAAAAACTTAACGATGAAAGGTTATTCCAGGTATTTTCTTATAGCTGCTGTCACATCGGTACGCACTACACTTTACTATTATATTTAAGATTATTTAAACGTTTAATGGTATATACAATTAATATTTTATTTTATAATGAGATTAACACAGTTGTAGATTTTAAATTAAGATGTTTATTTGTACTATAACCAATCACTATCACTACATAGTATAAAATAAAGTATGTCCCATGCTTAGGTCTTTAAAACTACGCAACTGATTTTGATGTGTTTTTTTTAATAAACAGAGTGATTCATAGGGAAGGTTTATATTATACATGCATATTGCACCCGTGCGAAGCCGGAGCGGTTTGCTAGTTCATTGTAATGAATAAATTATTTATTTATTTATTTAAAAATTGTTGTTGCAACTGATGTCAAAACTATTGATGGTGGCTACGTCATTTAGTGTATTCAATACACTAGATGAGGAAACTGGCGAATGTATCAGCGGCAGCGGCTCTGGTTAAACAGTGGCTCAGGTAGCTAGCCATCTCTATATTCAAAACCTCCCTTAGACACAGGTTACAAATTGCGGTTATTTAAATGTATGATTTGTAAGTCCGCGATATAATGTTTCAATGAACTTCTTAATTCTGAAAATGATTTATCTATAGTCTTCCTGACAATTGGTGTGTTTCCAGATTTCCATTCCAGACAGAGTAACGTTTACTTATAGGTTTAGCATGGCGCTTCTTAGGGATGCAAACACTAAATAAGATTATGTTGTAAAAAGTATTTACAGCGGTGGGTACATTATTTGCTTGTAAAGGTTCCCAAGTGACTTCCGCCAATAACTTGTATAACCGTTTAAAATTACATCAGTTTATCTGTATGTAATAAATCCAGTCTTTGCATATCCGACACAGCACCGTAGATTCGTGTTGTGCGAGGCGGACCCACGAGTGGTGCACCCACGCTTTTATCTTAGCATTCATGGGCCAAACATCAATGGAGTAACATCTATCCCAATAATTTATATTATAATTTAATGGTATAAACAATTAATATTTTCGTTTACATCAATATGGTGCCACGGAAAAACTGGCTACATGTCAATATTTGTTTATGAGTGGAGCGGTATGGTTAAAGGACACAGCACAATAGTCGTGATAATGAGTGTTTCAATTTCTTATTTAAATTATGTATTTATAGTATTTTAAGTTAAAATTGTTGTAGATGTTATGGTATTATTGTATTTTAATATGGGCCTTCGTTGCCTGATATAAATAAATAAATAAAAGAACGATATGTCAGTAACAGGTTGGTCAAGGACAAAGAATGATGGATATCGTATATACTATAACTATTTATAGAAGTTAATGTTCGGTCTGTTTATCTGTTGTAAGTCTGTGTTTCAGAGTATACTATTTAATCACTAATATACTGTCAAAGTGTCAATTGTCATTAAGGCATATTGTCATGTAATGTCAAGTCAAACATGTCCAATTTGGTATTTGGTCTTATTGTGGTGCAATGCAATGCAGTGATTAATGTTAATCGAATATTAATACAACCAAAGCAATATTTATTTTAAATCGCAGGGAGGTTATTTTTTTATCGATGCCAAATTTTAATATATCATTTTTTTATTATTTCCTTATTTCATAGTAGTACTATACAATGGGTGGCAAGTCAAAACAAAGTCAAAGGACTAAAAATAATGCAAAGGTAAGCATTTGTATATATATATTCGATGTATTGTGAATACTATTACCAGCATTGCGCTGCCGCGACTGCCTCGTTGGCCGAGTGGTCGCAAGTGCGACTGCCGGGCAAGGGGTCTCGGGTTCGATTCCCGGGTCGGGCAAAGTATTACTGGGTTTTTAAAAAAAAATCTCAGTAGTAGCACGGAGTCTGGAATTGTGCCCGGTATATGGCAATAGGCTCACCCCCTATTACATGGGGCTCATAACATAAATAGTGAAAAGTGGGTGTTACTTTATATAGTGGTATAAAAATGCACCTCTGCCTACCCCTTCGGGGATAAAAGGCGTGATGTTATGTTATGTTATGTTATTACCAGCATTGCGCATGTACATCATTCTATAGATTAAATAATAAACTTTACTTGAAGTAACAACTAACCCCATTGTACATGAAATCAATTTCTACAAGGTGTGTTTGAGTGTAATAAGTAATACTACAAGAAGTGTATACTTTAGCTACCTATAGATTTGGTTACTTTTGGTATTTTAATATTTAGCCTGCTTCACCTTCATAAATGGATCCGAGAAACTTGTGATGTGGTTCATACAAGTTTCTATTCAGATATTGTGAAAAGGCCCTTGGTAACACAAAATATTCCGGTAATCAAATGTAGGTATTTAACAATTCCTTGAAAGCCATTTGTGATATCTACTATCTAAAAATAAGTCGGGTTTTCCTTCCTGACGCTATAACTCCAGAACGCACGAACCAATTTCCACGGTTTTACTTTCGTTGGAAAGGTCTCGGACTCCGTGAGGTTTATAGCAAAGATAATTCACTTTTAATTACCAAACGAAATGTTCTGTCTAGTCTGTCTGGTGGTACAATCTGGTGGCGAAATGGAGTTCGCCGGGTTTGCTAGTTTGTAATATAAATGTACATTATTGCGGTTTTTGAGATACAGCTGCCTGGCATATGCCAGGTAGCCGGATAGTGAAATGTTACTTACATGCCGTGTTTTACTCATTGAATGTCTTTTATCGTCTGGTGTGTTTATCATTGAACTTTGCAATGCCCTGTGTAGTAAGAGATCTCTTTCAGATGTGGTTATACCTAATTGATGAAGAAGAGTTATCTTGCTGTAACTTATTGATTATATTACAATACTAGCTTTTACCTGCGGCTTCACTCGTGTCACAAAAGGATAAAAAGTAGCCTATGTGACATATGCCAACACATACAGCGCCATCTATACCAATACTTTTGTTTTCCCTCGGGAATATCAATTTTTTCGGGATAAAAAGTACCCTATTATTTAATTCAGACTTCTAACTTTACGTCTGCAAAAATTCAAAGCAATCTGAGTAGTTACTGCGTGAAGGTGGAACAAACAAACAAACTCACTTTCAGATTTATAATATTAGTAAGGATTGTGTTAATTATTTACTTAAACTATGTATTTGTTGCCTGGCCCTTCAGAAAACAAAACCCATAATGATATTGATTTTTTATTTTTTACAGCCTTCAAGTAGCAGCCGTAGTGCCGAGCTTCTTAATAATGGCATAAACCTAGATGCTAGCGTTATCACTCTTGGTAGTGGAAAGTCTCTTCCACCATTGTTCCCAACGTTAGCCACAGCCAACCTGGAACAAGGACTCAATCCAGAGTTTCAAATATGCTTTAAGAAGCTCACCAAGAAAGATCCGGTCACCAGAGCCAAGGTTATTTATAAACCTATATTGTTGTTTTAAGTTTCTACAGTAGGCAGCTGTCATCGTTGTTCTATTACTATTTTCTTATCACCCTATAATCATTTTATTGAAAAGAATTTAATTTAGGGACACACATTTTATTGTTTGTTAATATTGTGCAATAATTAAATACATAACATAATATGTTGTTGCAGGCTCTGCAGGATCTATGTGAACTAGTGAATAATGGTGATGTAGAAGATGTTGTGGCTGCTTTGCCGAGCTGGGCGCATTATTATAGAATCCTCACAACTGATATAGACCGCAAAGTTAGAGAGATGACACAGGTCAGTTAAAACTAAATTCCTAGTTAGAAAATTACTACATGCTTTTTTTAATCATATCTTACATCCTTATCTAAGCTATCTAAGGTTGCTAATGCCGGAACACTTATAACTGCATACCACGGACAGATTGTTTCTCTTCTTCGGTATGGGATAATCTTCTGGGACAACTCAACTTACAAAGAAATGATAATTATATCTCAAATGAGATGTGTTAGGGGCAAACTAAGCCAAACCGACCGCTGTAAACCGTACTTTATTTATTCAAATATTTTGATGGTACCATGCATCTACATGTACGAAGTGTATTTGTAAAGAATAATATTAATCTGTTTGACAAAATGAAAAGTAAACACTATAACAATCATATATGTTTCCCGAGTAATAGAACACATTTTCTTATTGCAGCGTTTTTTGTATGGCCCCAAGATTATATGTACAACCATTTGCCAAACGAATTGCTACATATACAATCTTTGAAAGTTTTTATAAGTAGAATAAAAAGGTTTTTAATCTCTAAGGCATATGCCTTATATATTTGTTTACTTATTATAGTGTTACTGAATACTTAGAAGACAAAATATGATGTTTTTTTTTAATATAAAGTTTTATTTGGCATTATAATATTTAATCATTTTTATCTTGTTTTTATTTGACTATTGACATTCTGTTTGTTTAGTATTGTGACATTCAAATTTATAATCCTATGTGACATAATAATTATTCTAATAACATTAAGTAATAATAATCAATCCAAATCATTGTTTCCAATTGTGTTTATAATTTTGTATGCTGACAAAAGCTGACATATGGTTTAAAAATGTTATTTAAGACCCTAACGTTACCTAAAGATAAAGATATATTTATTTATAAGTACATGGTACACTGAGATCTTACATTAAACATAGAAACACATAGGTATACTACCATTTCTGATGTAGAAATGGTAATATATGTGTTTCTCCAAAGGTCAGACTGGTAGAAAATGCCTGTGGCATTAAGTCCAGCTATTTGTACATTTTGTGCATGGAGCATATTCAATATATTAAAAAGTTGCCTTTTTCTTGTATAGAAGCATTATTTTTATAGATTGTCAGTATGCATATGTGAGCACCATGTTAGACTATAAGATGTTTTATTGTTTTTTTTTATTTTAGTACGTTTTGTAATTTGTATAATGCGTCAATCATGTCTTTGCATTGTTGTCACATATAAGTTCAGTATTGGAGTATGTATCAGAGACATTGTAGAACATACTTTTTTAAAAAGAGTAACAAATGGAGTTTCTTGCTCGTTCTTCTCCATTCGAATCTACATTTTGCAATGAGCACCTAGCTTCACGGACGTACTGACTAACAGTGTAAAAAGGTGCGTCACTACGTACGAAGCGATTCCCTTTTTATAGAGTTTGCAAGTTATTGACTATCAATGGTGAGATAAAAAATACACTAAGTTATGTTTGATTTAAGAATATATTAAATTCTACAAATGATGGTTTAACTGATTAATACTAAAAGATGATTTGATTTGATTTGTACGAGTAGACCGGCGATTGCGTACTACTATTGAACGTAAAATTCGATGCCTTTTATAAAAGTGTTTGTACGTAAAATGCTGAGCTGTTCGGTTGCGTTGCTCCGAACATATTCCCGACTGCAAGATGAATTGAAAGCACAAACTTAATCAAACCATCGAACACAAAACTAAACAATAAAATGCAAAAAATAATAATAAACAAAGACATTAATAAATGTAAAAGAAAACTAGAAACAGAAACTACTACTTATCTATTTACTATATAGTAAAATTAGTTACATGTACAGAAATGATAAAAGAATAAATTTCTGTCCATCTTACTTAAACTAAAGAGTCCTCCACAGTCACAACGCGTTCTCTTCGCGGGATAGGTACCGTAGACCTATTCGTATTATTTGTTTTACGCATAGTGCTTGGCCACCGTTTGGCTAGAAATGAACTTAAGTTTGTTTGTTCACTATCACTAAGCTGACGATCAGCTGTACTCTGCTTTCGCGATCTCACTTCACTGTTCACATCACTGATTGTTTTTGGTGTGGTGGCCAGCGACTTCTGTCTCTGGAAAGCTTCCCCACCTGCACGACGAAGGGGCAGCGAGCAATATCTCGTCCATGTCCAGACTGCTGCTCCACCTACTGCCATAGCCAACAGTACGTAGGTTATGGTGTAAAGGTGAATATCATGAGACGAGATATCATCAATATCTGCTTTGCTCGACTTTAGACCTTTAATCTGTTCACCTAGCATGGACAAAGATTTATTCAAGCCTTGCTTCTCTATGATGTCTTCTGGTGATTCTTCGTCTAATGGAACGTTTATCTTTACGATATGGTTTATCTGATCGAGCTCAGGTATTTGAATATTTGGTGCGATTTCTAATTGGTTTATTTGTTTTTGTAAGGAATATAATGCAAAATCCTTGCCCTTGATAAAACACGATTGACTCAAGCTAATGACCCCGGCTCGAGTCAGCTGTTCGACGGAAACTTGATCATCACATATGATTTTTACTGAATAGCTGCTACAGCAAAAGTACAAGTATTGTGACGTAGAGTGTAATTCAAACCATTTGTTTTGGCATACTGATTTTTCAACGTTGCAATTATTGGTGATCGGATTAAGATTACAAAAATTTTGATCATTTTGTAAACTGAGGATTGGTTTAAACAGTTCACACATGAATAATTCTTCATGAAGCAAGCATGTATTTAGCTCATGAATGGTTGGTATGAAATAAGCGTCCTTTCTTAAATTTACTGCAACATAATCAGATACTGGTATTACTGTTATCATACTCTGGTTGTTTTCGTGCGGAACTGGTAGTATCTTATACAATTGAAAATTTTCTCTTGAAATAAGAGGAAATGTTATTTCAAAAATTATGTAAGTCTCCGTGACTCTTGCTTTGATTTTCAATAGCTTGTAAATGTGTTGAAGGTCAGTTTCGAGGTTCTCAATAGGCAAAGTCAGATCTTTGGGCATTTGCCCATAAATAATTTGCAATTCTCTTTTAATTTGTGCTGGTGTTAGAATATGTAAGCTGATTTGGCCATGGTGTATTTCAGAAATGGTATCGATTAAGGTTTCTTGGATTCTCTTGAGGTTGTGCATTAGATTAATGGTAGCGATGGATACAAAGGTGAAGTCTTGGTGTATAGTCATCACATCAATTTCTTTTTGTATATTACTGGTCGCAAAATCTAAATTATGTAGATGTTTGTTTATAATTTTGTGCTGTTTTTCTATCATATTTTCTGTTCGTTGTAAAATGTTATGTTCCGCTTCAACTATAGACGTTTGGTTCTTCCATAACTGAGCCAGGTGGTTTTGATTACGGTGTACAAGTTCAATGTCCTGTTTGTATTTTTCTGCGAAACTCTCGTCTAATACGCCAAACAATGAGTTAGCAATTGAACCGACTGCGTTGATAAGACCGCGTCGGGTTCGATTGCGAGTATTATAATGCTGACTAAGTAACAGCTGGTTGTAATATTGTAATTCATTGTAATCGTGACGTATTTGTAGTAGGATCATATGACAGTGACTCGGTTCCTTGATGGTTTCGCACGTTTTTTCGAGATAATTGGTGAAATCTTTAATCGCCTTCTCTCCTTGCCAATATGGGGACATATCGTAGAAGGTGACAAGTTTCCAGTTATCTCGAATCAATTGTATTTTTCCCAGTGGGTCAAAATACAAGGTTTGGTTGCTGTTTAGTTGTTTGTAAGTAAAGGATGCAGTGGTCGGTGATATGATATTAAGGAACATTAACAACGCCAGTGCTATGTTCACTATCCTCGGATGAGTTGATGAGTCAGTGTGTCGTCTACTTCTTTCTTCTGGTTGAACATTTTCCGTCTCTGGTGTTATTGTTTTGGGTTCTACTTGAGGTTCTATCGGTAAAACCGAAAGCTTCACTATAGGCCGCTTGACATATCCGTTTTTGGTTTTTAAGGTAACTACTCTTACTAGGTCATCATTTCCGGGGTGTACTTCGGTTATACGGCCGACTGGCCACTTCCCAGCTGGTAAATTATCTTCCATTATAATGACCACATCTCCCACCTTAACGTTTTTCTGGTACTTAAACCATTTATTTCTGGCAGACAATTGTGTTAAGTATTCGCGTTTCCATTTCTTCCATAAATCTTCGTATAATTTGGTTACTAATTGCCACCTGGTTCTGGCATCTTCTGCTGTCTCTATCACAGTCACGCCTGGTCGTGTTGTTAAAAAATGGGCTGGTGTTAGGAAATCGAGGTCTTCAGGATCTTCTGTAAGCGCACAGAGTGGACGAGAGTTAAGACATGCCTCCAGCTTTGCCAAAAGTGTGCAATATTCCTCGAAGGTGAGCTTTTGATGGCCGATAACACGCTTGAGGTGGTGCTTAAGGCTTCGTACGGCTCTTTCCCAAAGTCCTCCCGCGTGTGGACACGACGGTGCGTTGAAGTGCCATTCAATTTGAAGTTCGGTAATCTCTTTGTAGAAGCTTTCGTTAAATGTTTGTTGAAGACACTCGTACTCTTCTTGAAGTATTCGATTTGCTCCGACAAAGTTGGTACCATTGTCGGTATAGATATGACGTGGTGTTCCACGCCGCGCTGCCATCCTGTTAAGTGCAGCTAAGAAGGCCGAACTGGTGAGGTCGGATACAAGTTCCAAGTGCACAGCTTTTGTTGCCATGCACACGAAGATTGCAATGTATCCCTTAGTGGTTTTAATTCCTCGGCCTTTATTTGATTTGATTTCCACAAATCCGGTATAATCGATGCCGCAGTGGTGAAAGGGCATCGCAGGATTCACTCTGGGTGATGGTAAGTCGCCCATAAGTTGGTACTGTCGAATAGGTTGTTGTTTGTGGCATATAATGCATTGTCTTATAAACTTTTTAGTAGCCATATATCCGCTGATGATCCAATATTTTTGTCGAATATTAGATAATGTAAGGC